GAAATCGTTCTCTAATGGAAAAAAATCAAGGAATGTAAAGCATCTCCTTCCCTAAATTCCCTATTCCCTCTCTGCTACCACCTACCACTCACTGATGGGAGATCAGGAGCCCCTCCTTTTTTATCCCATGGTACATCTCCATGAGACCATTATACCCGCGTGTTTTCGTTGCTGGTGCACTGTCTTCCCCACCAAGGCTGCTGTGAACTCCTTAAAGTCAGCGATTATGTCTTGTGCATCTCAGCACCTCCAGGGTACCTGTTCCCACACATAATAGCAGCTCAATAAAGGTGTGTTATATTAACAAATGAGGTACTATAGGATGTGCATGTGTGTGTATGTATCTGTATGTGTGTATGCATGTATATGTGTATATGTATGTATGAGAAAAACATGATCCAGTTTAGGGTTTATATTTTGTGGACTGCAATGACCTTGATATCAGACCTTTCAGGGAGGTAGGTGGCTAAGGCACCGCAGCTGGGACCCAGAAAGAAAGAAGGGATCATTCAAAAAAATACTTAGACGTATGGAACACTCTGTGAGCATCAGGCAATGAACGTGGCCCTAGGGTTATAAAGAAAACATCTCTATCTGTAAAGAGCTCAGCCCAGTGGGCACAGAGCAGGTAAGGATTTCGCCCCCATGAGTGAGTAGATATGTTAAAAAGCTAGATCAAGCTGTCTGACTCCCAGAGTTGTAAATTGCAGTGCTCTTTCCACTAGAACAATGCCTTTCAAATGCTGACAAGGCTCACAAGGCTCACGGTAAAAAACACATCTGTAACACTACCCAGTACAGATACCCTTTTGTATTTAATGCTATTCTATTTCACTTTTCAAAAATGTTCATCTTGACACACTAAATTAGTTTATGACTCAAAGGTAGAAAAATGCTGCATAGAAGATATATATTTTTTTTAATTTCTCTAGAATTTCAAGGTCAGATATAATTCCTAATATTTTTTCTCACACAATGAATTTGTATCCCAGTAAAAAAACGCTATCACCTAATCAAATAACCCACAAAGAGCCATGACAGCTGTCACCTGGGGAGTGGGAGGAAGCTAAACCTAATCTCCATCGGCTTTCCCCAAAGCCACCCAAGTAAAAATCCAATGTTTGGGAAATAGCATTTGCTAAGCTAAATCAGTTTGATGGCAAGCCCCCTGACACTCCAGCTTCCTTTCAGCTAGACTGTGGCCCAAAAGACTCCTATCCTATATAGACATTGTGGCACTCCCATTTACAATGGATATTTTAAAAATGATTTTGGGTAAGAGGCTTTAATTAAATGTGTTTATGTGGGGAACAATGAATTTATTAAAATAAATTAATGAAAACTGAAATAAACTATTTTAAATAAACACATTTTATTTTTAAAAACCTCTCTGAAATTTGCCAATCTTCAGTTAAAGTGGGGGGACAGAGTGTACTGATTCATCCCGGATCTGAATAAAGCATGCAGAAGTAGATCATTAATTACGCTAGTATCTATCTCTTTTGGTGTGTCCTTGAAATATTACAGCAAAGGCAGTGTACAACGTTTCCTCAATGTGAGATGTTTCTACAGCACTTCCCACTACAGGAAATGTGGTAACAACAATTACCACTACCTAGTTGCAAGCTAGAGATGAACGAACTCCAACGTCCTCAAGAGTTTTTTCAAGAAATGTGTTCCCAACAAGACATAAAGTCAGACACCAGCAGAAAGACCAGAAAACCCCTTTCCATCTTCTGTGTCCACAGGCAATACTCCAGCTCTGACAATGCAAATTAAGTACAAGAATATTCATTCAAGTTCTTGGGCTTACTAGCCTCACTATTCCTTACTCTCAAACATCACCATGTCTGAGATTAAAGGACTCATTTTTATGACATTTGCCTGAAATTAAAAGGCAATTTTATAAAACTTGAATAAAACTTCCTCTCTTCCCTAAAAGAAATCTGTTTAGAACTGCTTCAAAAATATCCTTTTTATAAAGATAAAATGCATTTTTCCTAAGAAAATAGAGAAAGCCATACTTGCTATGTATCAGCTGTGTCCAATAGAACTTGAGGAATGATGGAAGGGTTCTGTACCTGTACTGTCCAGCAAAGTAGCCACTAGCCATCTAGTATAGAGCACTGGAAATGTGGTTGGTGTGACTGAGAAACTTAATTTTAAATTTTATTTCATTTTAATGAATCTAAATTTAAATAGCCACATAGGCTAAAAGCTACAACACAGGGCAATGTAGGATAATCAGTCTAAGTTCTCAGCAGCAGATCTGTGTAATTGACTTGTCTTAGACTGAATGCCACATTTTGAAAAATGATGTTTTATACCAAGGGTCAGCAAACTGCAGCTCGCGAGCCACATGCGGCGCTTTGGGTACGTTCCATCTCAAAAGTTTGCTGACCCCTGGAAGAGCCAATCTTGTCTCTCACAACAATTTAAAAATTATTCGAGAGCCATAAATATATTTTTACATAATCACCATAATGTGAATAATATCCTTTAAAAATCTTATCAATGAAACTATGATAGTTTTATTTTCATTTTCAATTTTACTTCAGAGCCACATGTATATACCCAAAGAGCCGCATGTGGCTTGTGAGCCACAGTTTGCCGACCCCTGGCGGCTCTTCCGTCTCAAAAGTTTGCCGACCCCTGTTCTATACCAATATTCACTTTTCAGCTTCCTAATTAATCTTGAATTAATTAATATTTAAGGTTTCCTAGGAAGTGATTTTTTCAACAAAGTTTGGCAATTTTTATTCTAAAACATGAACAGACCAGAACTGCTAAGCAAAATTCTTTTGGCACTGTTCAATTTTCCATCTCTGAAACTTAAGCATAGGTAAAGGGGGAAAAAAACTTAAGCTCATCCTCCTCTTGATACAAAGGGAAGAAATGAAACACATAAATCCGTACAAAGGCTAATACAACCTCCTACATGCTTTATGGGTACATCTGCTCGTCAACCCCTGCTTCTTTAGACCCAGCAGTGGCTTTCAACAAAAGTCATTCATACATTCCTTTGAGCTCTTAACTGTGTTGTTATGATCAGCCTATGACCAGACCCTCTAAAAGTATTCTACCTATAGGAAAACCATGTAAAATAAACACACTAAAATAATCTATACTTGAATGAGATGAACTGATCAAATGATCAAAATGCAGTAGCCTAAAGAGAGCAGATGCTTCAGAGAGACTAAACTATGCAGATCATTGCCAAGACCACTTTCCAAGCAGGTGGCAAAAGAAACTGTGCAGTTTCTACAATCAACAAGGAAGAGACATCCCAAGAAAATATGCTTAAAAATACATTGCAGCCATGCTGTGGCTATCGATAACTTTCACTTCAAGCAGCACTTACGATTGCACTCCTTATAATCTCAAGGTCAATGCCAAATTAATTTTTTTCAGCTTCTCATTTTACATGCAAATATACTTAACACACACGCAAGCACAACCATTTCGGTCATTTCATTGTGTTTAAGGAGAACGAATTTCTAAAGCTTGTATCTAAAAGTCCTATGAGCTCATTTAAAACAAGCAAACTTAAGTATACTGTACAAAGACCAAAGCCACTAGTACCACACAGCATGTCTGGGGAAGCCCAAGCTGTACAGAGCAAAGCAACTCTAAAACAGCAGTGCAATTCAGGTAAGAATTCAGCACCACAGATGCGAATTTCTTTTTCTCTACCACCACTACTGCTACCATGAGGTCCTAAAAAAGGACTAGAAGCTCACTCACCTACAGTATACAAAAAGCACTGGGACATCAACAAGACCTACATGACAAGGAAGAAATATGTACAGCACCCAGGGGCTTCCAGTCTTGCAGAATAATAAATGGCATTGCCAGAAGGAGAAAAGGCTTCATCTGAGAATACTCTGACCTAGCGAGTCTGTCAGACTCCATAACACCTGGGTGCTGTCAGTCCTTCTCTGTGTACAGATAAAATCTGCAGATGCCGCCTGGACAGGAAAGAGGGAGACAGAGAATTTAAAATGGGGAACTGCCACGCTGTTGCTCCCTGAGAGTACCCTCCTCACTCTTCCAAGCTATGAACTACAGACTCACTGACTACAGCATCTATAGCATGATCTCTAAGGAGCCTATCAGTCATAAAATTCAAGGATAAAAGTCTCAGTGTCTTAAGATAAGTGCTAGAAACCTCAATGCTTTTTTCATCATCCTCATTTTCAGGGGAAAAAAAGTCACATAAGTATAATACACAGTCCAGAATTTTCAGAGCAGAGGCACAAGTTCTCAAAGCACATAAGGCTTCAAAATCGAAAATAAACACTGCTTCTCACGTAGCCCTCTAAAAGTCCATTTTGGAATAGATTACTCCGGCTTCCCAAAATGCAATTTAAAGGCGGAAATAAAGATGTACTTAAAGACACTCAGAAGACAAATCAGCTTAACATGGATAAAACTTAATTTTTATATTTAAATTCTAACACAGATTTATGAGATAAAAAGATTCTAGTAAGCAAAAGAAACATACATAACAAAAAGGAAAGCCACTTTCAGCTTGGCTTAAAATGTTAACAGTACAATACTACATTAAACTTAAAAACTTATTAAACTATTTTAGCACAAATATGGCTCAGTCCGTTTTCTAAATTCCCAATGTTTATGAGCTACATATCTTACCTCTTCTTTATAAGACCTCAAGCTCTATGTAACCCGCTCCTATTTCTCTAGGAGAGTTTTTGCAGACTGGTCTTACTGAATGTCAATCACATTTAAAACACATTATTAAAGGAATTATCAATATATAATTATGAAATTATATTGAAGCGTTCTGAAAATATCATCCTTCTTAACTGAGATTCCAAAGAAAAACTCAATAGAATTGTTTTCTATTTATTTTTCAATAAGTCAAAGCATAAAAGCATCGTCACCCCAAAGGGTAATATATATTTAATCATGGCTCCTGACTTAACACATAACGTTACAGATTTGTTCATATGCATTAAACAAAAGTGCTTCACTCTTACCTGTATATCCAGCATACCATCCCCAGGAAGCCACCATTCCTAAAAGCCATTTATACATGATTCCTTCAATATACCAGAAGCGCTTACTGTCCAGCATGCGAAGGGGCTGAAGTATAATCACATAGCAGATGTAGGATGGAATTGCAAACACGTTGTTGGCGACCATAAAGGCAAACCTCATCAGGGCTTTCACCAAGATCCAGCCCAGCGACGGAGCTTCTTCCAAAGTCACAGCCATTCTCACATTGGAGTTCGTCCTGTCTTTCTGGGGTGAAAGGAACATTCATTTAAAAAGGGAAATGGATTAAACATCTAAATAATCACCAACATGGAAATCGTCTCCAGCACAAAAACAAATTAAAAAAAAAAAATCGAGTCTTAAGCCTTCCCGGTGTAGTACCTCGGTGATCTCTCCGGGAAATTCCAGAGGGGGACAGAGAGCGACGGAGGAGGAGCCGCACAAGGTCAAGGGAGCTGTTCACAGAGGCACAGGGTATGTCATAATATATTTAGCAAATGATAATGCTATTCCCACCAACTAATCGGTGGCCGTCCCCGCACCGCGTCTCACTGCAGTCTTCTGTCGGACTTTAAGGAAGACACACAGACCCGCTTGCTCCAGACACTCTCAGTTATCTCCAAACTGACGAGACGAGGGACAAGAAGACGGAAACGTGGACCTCTCGATCCGATACGGATCCCGTGAACCTGGACCCCCTCCACCACCATTCCTGCACCTTGATTCATTCCTTCCAAAGGTCTCGCATTAGCAAAAAGAGTGGCACTAAAAATTTTCATTTGCGGCACGGGGAGGTTATTTGTTTTCTTTTTTTTTAAGAAAAAAAAAGGGGGGGTGGGGGGGCCTAGGAAAAGGGTAGAAAGGGGAGAGGACGAAAGTAAGGGATAATAAGGGGAAAGGAGGAAGGACAGGAGTAGGGGGAGGGGAGCAAAAGCCAGAAGGAGGTAAAAGCAAAGAGGCCAGGGATGGAGGGAATCAAGTCTCCGACCAGAGGACCGGGGAGCGGGGCTTGATGAAAGAAGCGAGGAAGCAGAGGCGACTACAGCGCTCAGGGGGCGGGTGGAGCCCGCAGCGGTTTCCGCGGGTGTGGACAGGGTCGGGGTGGCGGTCTCGGCCCACGCGCCGGGCTCACCTCGGCGGGCGCGGGCGGCAGGCGGCGGAGCGCGGGGGCGAGCGGGGCCGGGGCCGGCCGAGGGGTCGCGGCGGGTGTCCCCGGCCGAGGGGTCGCGGTCATGGACGCGGCGGCGGCCGAGGCACGGCGCGGACGGGCGCCCTACTCCCCTCGCGGCTGCCTGCGGACAGAGGGACGGCGGGGACTCAGAGGCCGGACCTGTCACTGGGGCGGGTCCCGGGGAGGCGGGCGGACGCCCCGCGCCCCCGCCTCCTCCTCGGGGCCTACCGCGCCCAGGTCCCTCATGCCGCCGCCGCCGCCGCCGCCGCCTCCCCGGGCCGCACGACAACGACACCCTTTCCCCGCCCCCCAGCGCCTCCCCCGGCTCGGCTCCGCCGCAGCCCGGCGGCCTGCGCCCGCCGAGCCGGGGGTTACCTCGGGCTGGCCGGGCCCCGGCCCAGGCTACAGGAGCCAGAAGAGCCGGAAGAATGCATGGCCGGCGGCGGGGCCGGCGGAAGGAGGCGGCGGCGGGGCCTGGCCCCGCTCCGGCTGCGGCGCGGCCCGCGCGCGTCCCCGGCGGCGCGGAGACTCGATCCCCAGGGCCCGGCGGCGTTCGCTGGGGCCGGGAGGAAGCGGCGGGAGTCGGGACTGCGGCGGAGCCGCCCCCAGAGCGCCCTCTAATGAAGGCGCGGCCGCCGCCGCCCGGCCCGCTCTCCCCGCCGCCTCCCGCGTCTCCGACCCCGCTGGTCGGCGCGGGTCAAGGCCCTTGGGGCTGCCTGGACCCTAGGCCAGGACGGAGGGACAGGGCCGCTCAGAAAGATCTAGGAATGAGCACCAATCCTTACACCACACGAGGAGCGCTTTGGTCCAAATTGAGAGCCCCTTTTCAGCCAAAACAGCCGTTTTTCATTGTTAGGGCTCTCTTGAGTCTGACGAGTCGATCACTGTCCAAACTGGGAAGCTGTCTCCTTGAACACTGAATGTCCTCTTTTCTTCCCTAATGAAACCCAGTGGCTCGCAAGGCTTTGCTTCCGGAACCTCTCCAGAGTATTAAACGTCTAGAGTTTTAAACTAGAATTTAAATAAATTCATTTTAAGTGCCAGAATTCTTGTTTCTGGAAAGCACCTGAAACAACGACAGCTGCAATTCCCCATCCATCCTCTCACCCCCACACCCCTCAAAAAAAGGAATCCAGTGGGAATGAATGGTCTGCACAGAGACACTGAAATTTGGTCAAGGAGGGAAATCACGCAGCGCCTACTATCCAGTAAGCGGTACCCAAAAATGGTGGCCACAGGTACCCCTGGCACAAGCTTAGTCACTCCTGGGACGCTAGCTGCATTCTGTTTCAAGGCTGGACCACCAGAAGGAAAATAGAGAAACAGCTCAATGACCTGCCTACCTGAACATTCTCAAATGGCCCGCCTCCATTTCAGTTAAAAAAAAAAAATCAGCTTATCAAAGCTTGTTTGTTCTATCCTATTGGTAAATGGGGGTGGGGGCAGTTTTTGCATGTTCCTAGTGACCTGCCATATTTCAATCAGAGTCCACCCATTCTGCCTACTTTGAAAATGTTTGTCACTGTGTTTGGTTTGGACTCTCAACTAACGCAACATCTCTCTCTCTAACTTCCGCTCCTCTTTGGTCCAGAGGTGAAGGAAAAAAATTCACCTTGTGCCATACAAAAGAATACTTTCTATTCCCATTCCCTTTGGTGATGAGGAAATAGATGAAAGCACAGAGCCTGGCTGAAATAATGTATTAGATTCTTTTCCATTTAGTATTAATTTATTTTTATTTATAATATGGTATTTATCTATTTCACTAATACTATATTTTAACTGTACAGGACTTTAAAAGGCACAGGCCCTATCAGAGACCTTTCCATATAAGTTCAAGTATAGCAATAGAAAAGTTAGATGTGCCCCATTCTATTCCCTGTATGCCCTCTGAGAATTTAGGTGGCAAGGTAATAGCACCTTTAAATCAATCTCATGAGAAAAATAATAAGTATACTGTAGATTATTGTTCAAAATATGTCATTATATTCTTAAATAAGACAGGTGAGGCACATATATCTTCCAAGAATCAAGACTAAACCCCCTAAGGATTCCATTTGGTCCATTCATTCAGCATTCCCCACATGCTGGTAAACACTGGCTGACACCTGGAGAGAGAGAACCTACAATGGGATGTGTATCTGGTTCCTGGATCACAGAGCATTTTCCAGAGCGCCAGATACACCAGCACTTGCTGAGATGTAATTAGTACCAGCCAGCCAGGCCCAGAAAAGAGTCAGAGGTTGGGTAGGACCTTGCACAGTGGGCCTCAAAACTTCAGTATGCAAAAATATCACTTGGGGTGTCTATTGAAAAGATAGATTCTTGGGCCTTGTAACAGAAAAATTTATATTCTAGGTCCAGAGAGGCCTGGGAAGCTGCTTTTTAAAAAGCAGCATAGGTCATTCTGATGGAGGTAGTATGCAGACCCTGCTTTAAGAAACCCTGACCTGGAGGTATCCCCAAATAATCACATCCTTTTGTAGATCCTTCATAATTTTAAGTCATTTGTCCCTTACTGTTCTCATCTGTATTCGTGTACTAGGGCAACCATAGCAAAATACCACGGAATGGGTGACTTAAACAACAAGAATTTGTTTTCTCACAATTCTGGAGGTGAAAAGTCTGAGGTCAAGGTGTCAGGAAGGTTGGTGTCTTCTGAGGCCTCTCTCCTTGGTTTGTAGATGGCCACCTTCTCCCTGTGTCTTCACATGGTCATTTCTGTGTGTACATGTGTCTGGTGTCTGTCTCTCTCTTTGGGTTCTAATTTTTTCTTATGAGAGCACCAGACACATTGGATTAGGGCCTACCCTAATGACCCCATATTACTTAATTACCTCTTTAAAGGCCCTATTTCCAAATGCAGTCACATTCTGAGCTACTGAGAGTTAGGGCTTCAATATATGAATTTTAGGGGGATGCAATTCAGCCGTAACATCATCATCCTTCTACTGTTTACACTGCAGAATTCTGCCATTTAAGTAACTCCTTATGGAAAGGATGTGGAAACCCTAATTTTGATCATTTCAGCTTTTCTACTCTTGACCAGCTCCAGCCTCATTAGACGTTTCATGAAGCTAAGCAAACAGAGCAATACATTGTGTTCCAAGTGCAGATACGCCTTTTTTCCCCCACCCTTGGTGAATGAGGGGGCTTATCTTTTTAACTTTCTTGACCACTGGAGCACATTCAGTTTCAAGATAATTCAGTACCTACAATGGATAAGAAACTGCAATTGGGCTGACTTCTTCAGGGAACAATATCACATGATGTGTATATTTCTTATATTTCAGAGTTTATTTTAGATATACATTTTGAATTTCTACCTTATATATACTACCTTCCTCTTGCCTATACCTGAACCCACTTAGGCAGCCGCCTGAGATTTTTCTGTAGCTTATTTCCACAACACCACAGGCAGACAGATGTATAAATGCTTTGAATAACTGTAATAGGAAGGTGGGGAAGGCCAGTTCTTCAGGGTAGACAGATCTAGAGAAAGCAAGGACTTTGTTCAGTGGCTCATCAGTTTCTAATCCCCTATCTTGCTACCTTAGAGTAGGTAGCAAGCGGCTCTTTGGGTACGTTCCATCTCAAAAGTTTGCCGACCCCTGAAAGAGCCAATCCTGTCCCTCCCAACAATTTAAAAATTATTCAAGAGCCATAAATACATTTTTACAAATAAGGAAAATTTAAAGTAATATTATAAATGAAACTAGGATAGTTTTATTTTCATTTTCAGTTTTACTTCCAACGACGTACCCTAAGAGCCGCATGTGGCTCTCGCACCACAATTTGCCGACCCCTGGTGGCTCTTCCATTTCAAAAGTTTGCCGATCCCTGCCTTAGAGCAAGGCTTATCAAAACACCAACATTAATTAAGTCAAGAATTTCAGAGCCTTCTTAAACACTCCAGGGCAAAAGGAAAACAGATTCCACCCTATAGCCACAGGCATTATAGTTTCAGTTTCAAAAGCCCACATTTGAACCACAAAAGGATGGTCCTTTGAAAGAGAAATGTGACTTCTCACATTTCCAAGAATCCCCAGACATTTTAAAACAATCTAACCACGACACCTCAGAAGGTTTAATTCCACCCATCTGGTCCACGTACACACAACAAATTAGGTTATAACCAGGGAGGGGCTCCCTTGGGCAGAAGAACCCCGCTGGGTCTTCTCTTTTTCCTAATGGCAATTATAAAAACATTTCACCTACCTGTGCAGGTTTCTGCACTAAAGCTCCAATGAACTATTTCCTCTCTAGGGGGAAACCCCATCAGCAGTGTTGTAAATGTGCAGTGACTTGGCACATCACTAGAAACAGTTACAACCTAGAAATGAGCACCCCAGAGAGCCATGCATTCTGTTGTCAGCTTTAACTTCAAACAAATATATGGAGATGTATTATATATAAAAATTGCCTTTCTCCTGTGTTAGTATCAGTAATCATTTTATATAAAACGTATTAGGGCTTATAACCTTAATATTTTTTAGACAAGTTGGGTCAAATCATTATGGCTTCACTGCAGCTTTATTTAAGCCATTTCATCAACTTTTCATTAACAAGGCTGGCCCTAAGCAATGTTAACTAAACAATTCTCTGTTCTCCTCTGTGCCCTTCTCCTCTTCAACTAATTTCCCTTTTCCCTCTTAATACTAAAATGATCTCTAGTTCCCAAAGGGCACTAAAGACCCCACTTAAGACCCCCACTCTCCCAAAAGACAACACTCAAAGCTAGAACCTTCTTCCTCACCTGCCCAACTGTATTTCCTTGGCTCAGCCCTCTTCCCTGCATGGTGTGATCAACCAATTCATGCTGGTGTGCTTATGGCTAAAACCCGTGTTTCCTCTTCCTAAAGTATGAATATTTTATACAGAACCTCCTAAAACCCCCAAAGCCTTAATGGATTTCTAGTGGTAAATTCTCATGCACTATATATATGTAGTGGATAAGTATTCTTAAGATATTTTGGAGAAGGCTATTTCAGCAAGGTTCTC